ACAAAAGCATGAAAATAAAATGGACACTTATATTAAATCTGTTTATAAGCAAAAAATATTTAAATAATAATATTTAATTAAATTTATAATAAAATTTTTATTTTATTTTTAGGCTTTTTTGATAATAGACAATATTTGGTAATGTGTGGTTATAAAAGTCAAATGAAATATTTGGCTAATTCTTTATATTTTGAGATAGATATAAGTTTTAAACATGTGTATTGGTCAATTAATAAATGGAAAGTATGTGCTTATATAGAAAAATATCAAAAAAGTAAGTAATATAATAGTAATAATAATAAATTAAAATATATAAAATTTTTTATTTGAAAGCTTTAATATTTGTATGTGTCTTCACGATTCTTCAAATGGCAAATATATATAAAAATTATTTGAGAAACTTTTTATATATATGGAACAAGATTGCAAACATCCAATTGAGTTTCAACACATTCATGGATATGATATTGGATGTATTTTGGCAATTGAGCATCAGGGTTAAGCATTGGGTAAATTTATATAAATTTTATTATAATATAAATTTTTTATATATATTAAACTATTTAAAATAAATATTTAGGTTTGGGTCAATATTTAGCAAAAAAATTTTTAATATTTACTGCAACAGAACATTTGCAAAGAATTTATAAATTATGCACTATTCATTTTAAAAGGTAGTGATTATTATTTTTAACTAGCTAATAAATTATTGGCATAATTAGTTTAGATTTTTAGAATTTGCAAATTCTTGATTTAATTTTACTTATACTAGTATTTTAAGTATATCGAATATAATTTATATTTATTTTAATTATATAGAAATATTCAAAACAAAAGAGGTATAAATAAAGAAATAAAAAAAATATACTTATTAATAGAAAATAAAATTGCATATGAGATAATGAGTACTCTTGAATTTCTTCAACAAAGTGAGAACCAGGTATAGCAGGTATATAATTATATATATTACAAGTAATTTTATTTATTTAAATTATTGTATTATTTTACAAATTTTTAATTTCTTTTTTTTATAAACTGGGTTCAAGATAAAAGACAATCTTGGGTGCTTGCAAGTTTGTCACCAGCATTTACTAAAATGTTACCAACAATTTGAACCAATATATCATTTATAACAAATGCAGGAAAATCAGCTCATACTCATATTAACTGAAATAGTTATAGATTATCTTTATTAGCGGCTATTCAAAAGTAAGTTAATATTAAATTTAATTTTATATTTATAAGTATAATTTATTTGTTATTTGTATTTAAAAATAGAGTTAGTGAATTTGATCAATTTCAATAGAGTTCTGCTCATACATATGAAAGAACAAATATATCTGATTCTTATCAGGATAAATTATCTTTGCAAAGAACTGCTGAGGCAGCTAAAAAAAAACATATGTATTATATATTATAATTAAAAATTTATAAATAATTAATTTGTTACAATTTTTTTTTTTTTAAAAAAAAAAGTATGAATAAAGATTCAACTAGTCAAAAGTCTTCTAAAAAGACTCGACTTGTTAAAAATAATATGGCAATTTCACGTGAGCCTTCTAATATATCAATTATGTCAATTGATAATTATGAAGAAATTTTAAGAATTGAGTGTGAAAAACTTAACATTCAAAGAGATAAAAATAATGAATTGGGGAGAGAAGTTTTGTTGTGAGAAAAACTTCAAAGACTTACAAACAATAATTAAAATTCATGTATTCTGTAAATTTATTATATAATTATACTTGCAAATATAGTAACTTTCATTGTACTTAAATTATATAAAGAATTAGCAATATAAATTGTTAGTTTCATCTGGAATTAAGTTCTTTAACAAAATGGCAAATTGAAAATTGAAAAGTATTGTTATATCCAAGTAAGTTATTTTTTTTTCTTCCTAGACCAATTTTTTTAAAGTTGTCTTTCTTTCACTTATTTTTTTAACCCACTCTCTTTTTTGAATTTTTTTATTTTTTATTTTTTTTTTTCATCTTTCGCTTATTTTTTACCCCGATGTTTTTGAATTTTTTTTTTTCTTCCTATATAAAATTTAGATGGGATAAAATGCGCATAATTCCAAATCATGTGCATGCATGAAACCCATCTCTAGTCCTATTGAACAAAATTTTAAAGTGGTGTAGTGTACTATTTTCTATTTAATACGATACAGTATGCTTTACCTCTATATAAAGAAAAAAGTGTACTGTACCGACATTAAATGTGAGTACAGTACAGTACATACTGAAGTAAAATGCAGTACGAAATTTCTATAGGCCGGTTTTACTATATTATTGTGTCACATCAATACGTAGCAAAATAAATCAAAAATTTATTCCCATTGATATTATAAAATCAATAAGACTTATATTATATAATTAATCATTACTAAAACATGGCAAACATTAGATGAATTGCCTTTTTCTTATATGGCTAATTGATTAATAATGAACTATCTGTTTCTTTATCATCATATTATTCATTCAAATTTAACCACTATCCATGCTTCCATTCCTGGTTTCACGCGACAAAGTCGCACAGCTATCTAGTTAATAAAATGAATATACAAAATATTTACTCTATTGCTTTCATCAAAGCAAAAAAGTATTAAGCTAAATTTCGAGTCAAATATCGATAACTTTTTAGAATTGAATCTAATATAATACTGTATTTGATTAGCGCATATCGGTGTCATTCGAATTTAGCATTTCCTGACTGATCGGGTCTATGCTCCGAACGGGTCGGGTTGGGTTGAAAATTTTCGGGTTAGAGCTTCAACCCAAACCGACCAAAATTTTAGGGCTAATATATTATATTTTTTCAAAAAAATGAATTCAAATAGCCCTTTTTGCTCTTAAATGTTTAATAATTCATGTAATGATGATCATCGAAGTTGGCTAATCAAATCTAAGCGCGGTATGCTTATAAACTCAGCGG